TGGATCCATGCTGGTCGCAAACGCATTATGTTGGTTTTGTCGTGACACGGCTCATTTATAGCTTGGTTTCACTGGGACTAGTGATCTGTTCCTCTAACCTACTTGATTTCTCCCTTAATTTCTTATCAGCTTGATAGTATCCTTGACTGACCTGATTTTTTATTGAATGGAATAATTGACAATTTTGGATAAAAAATAATTATTCCCCATTTGAAATTATATATATTTTTTCTTAAAACTAGTTTCTAACAATCTTAGATTAAAAAAGAATTGATATTCTCAGATACTAGATTTAAGTATTTTCTTCTTCTTTTTCTTCTTCTTCTTCTTCTTATTATTATTATTATTACTATTAAGTATTCGGTAATTGGAAATTTTGAGAATCTCAAATTAAAAATATTGTTAACAGTACAAAGTTTATATAATCTCCACCAGAAAAATGGGAAAGTCGCCATATAACCAATCCTATACTGTACTTTGTTGATGCGACGTAAAACCTAATATGAAAAAAAAATCACAGTAACATGTTGAATGAATATGATACAATCTTTTAACATTGTAACAGTATTGAATAAAAAAAAACAATATCCATTTAAATATTATCCCTTACATGTACACAAGTGTTGTGGTATAATATATAAAATCATTTGCATATACAGTTCTGTGTAGTATACATGTATGTGATTTTATATGAATATTCATTCATGTTTTCCCTTAAAATGTTTAAGGTGACAATAGTAGCATGGTATTGACCAAACGGTAAAATTTGATAACATTTTTTTACCATTTGCCAGACCATACTACACAGTATATAATAACCAACACAAGGAATATATTTACAGAAGATAATAAGGAAATGATGAGTAATTGTGCATTGTCATTTAAGTTATAACCAATCTATAATCATATACTGACCTACATGTTCTTTATAATTCATGTTTACATTATCCTAGATGTTACATCCTGGTCTTGACATTATCTAATAGCTATATAATACACATGAGGACATTATCAACAAACAGAGGTGGACATCTGTTACCTGAACATAAAACAATTCTCTGCTATTATTTTTAAAATCAATTCAAATTAACTATATCGGTCATTAAACTGCAAATTTGAGTCTGTATCAACAAAACAAACATTTTGAAGTGTTTTTAAGATGTGATTATGCTATATTGACATTGATTTCGGATATTGATATCACTGGCAGATGATGTGAACAACCAAAATTACTGCCAGTCCCTTAAAGTGAAGTTTTTTCTTCATTTTTTTATCAGGTTTTATTAAAATGGTGACATAGATGGTGATTTCCTAAGTCATATATACATGGTTTTAGCCATTTGGTGAGTGCCCAGCTTTACTGGTGAGACCTCACATGCCTGTCCTCACATACCTGATTGACCATTATCTCCGAGACAAGAAGTTTCTTCCATACTACCACCAGCTTTCTATTATATCAACTCAAATAGCTTCCTATAATATTTAAATTAAAGGGGGCAAAACTTTGCAAAAAAACTTTTCAGGATTAAAAGCCCTTTTGGAATGACATTCACGTATTCCAAGCCTGAAGTTGATAGCTTTTAAACTAAACCTTTGATAATGAAAAGGTTAACTACCTCCAATGCCATATCTGATGATGAGAGGGTTATGAAGAAACCCTCTCACACAAACAGCTTATGTCAGTTACATTTTTTTCAAGTAAGATTATTAATGGATCAGATGAAGGGAAAACCTTTGGTCTCCCAATGAACCAGGAGTGAACTTTAATATAATTTCCTTCATATTTTACACTCTGGATGCTAGAAATTATAAGTTTCGGGTATTCCAAACATGGGTAACATTAACAATACCCACTGTTTTATTACACTTTTTAAAGCTATATTTCATTTATATCATGCTATTTAACACCCTTCTATTGATAATCATTACAAAACATATGACACTTTAAAAAAAAACATGTAACATATAATTATCCCAATAATAAGTTGGTAACATTTGCTAGAATAAACAAATGTAATCACATAAACATCTCTTGAAGTTTTTTATCCTTTATTTCATATTGATGTGTTTGTTTCCTACTATTGCCTGATTTCTCTATCTATTTCATTTGGTGCAAATTTTAAGGTCTTTCTTTTTCAGTTTCAATTGTAATTCAACCATGGACTAATTATTAAAAATTTAGATATACAGTATAACATGTGCTGAAGGCCATTTACTTAAATTAAAGGCACATTATGCCTCAAAAATGAATGCTTTGGCCTTCTTTGGAAAGGGCCAACAAGAGTTTTATAACACTGAAATAAAAGTTTAATAGCATGTCAGATGCCCTAAATTATCACATGAAGAAATGCTAAATCATGTGTCATACTAGAAACAACAGAATTCAATGAAACTAGGTTTTCTTCACAGAAGCTTCTTCATCAAGTGCCTTGATGCAGATTGTTTTTTTGTTTTTTTGATTTTTAACATATATAACATAACATATATACTATATAGATGAAAAATATGTTTTTACACATTTGAAATACTAATTGTATCTCATTTGATGCATATTATTACAAAGAACAAACTTTAGGACAATTAATTTTATTAATAATAATACTAAAATATTCATAAGATTGTTACAGTGAGTACATTACCTGTATGTTGTTTGGTCATTTTGTTTGCTCTGCACATTAACTTGTTCATTATTTACTATATACAGGTATCATTCTATTATGCATTCATATACTATATATAATAATTATTAACTTAGACCTCCGTGCCATGTACTATTTCGTAAATAGTCAAAATGGAAACCCTAAAGGTTGCCCAAATGTCTAGAAAAACTTTATGAGAACATTAAACATATAAGTGAGATTGGTAACTGTTGTGGTTTGATCCTAAATTAGGTAAAATAAAACATTAACATTTTTTAATGATTTAATTTCACATCTTACTAACATAAATTTCAGAATAAGGGTTTGCTTAGACTTCATATCACTTTTAATAACCAGCTCCTAAAAACACATTTTTGTTTTATGCATTATTTTGGGAGATTCAAATATGTTTTGTTTTGGTCAAAGCATTGAGAAAGAAGTTTTTTACCCTTACCACACTAAATACATGTATCTTAGATGCAATTGTCCATCTTGGTCTTCACTCCGGTCACATGGGTTAGATAGATTAGATAGATTTATTTCAGTATTCTGCAATAACATGGTGAAACATATTCAATATATTATAAAACAATAAAATCAAATATCAATGTATAAGAAATTAACCATACCAAAAACATCATACCAAGGATAACACAAGAAGAGGGTAGTTTATTTCACAATACACATCCATTGTAAACAAAAGACTTTAATTCGAAACCTTTGACCTTAGGTAGCATATAACACCCAGTTTCACTTGACCTGGTCCTTTAAGTATAAACAGAATATAATGGAATAAAGTTTTCTCCGATATATTCAGGGACAAGTCCATGTTTTATTTTAAAAACATAACAGAGGATAATTTGATCGACTGACAGGCAAATAAGTAGATTCAGTTGCTGGCAGCAGGCTAAATGTTAGAATAAGCCAATCAAATTCTTCTTATAACTATATGAGAGGACGAACGCTTGTGTCAACAAATAACCGATTTAACATAAAGTACGCAATTATCATTTATGTTGGACAATATAAATACATAAATACATTGTGTATATCAATGAAACATCTTGCAATGACAATAAATAACATTTCAATAAAACAATGCAATTTAAGTGGTGCAGAAACCTAAGTGTATTTTAAGTGAATTTCATTATCAATAATTATATCACATGATGCTGTTATTCATCATGATGGCTATATAATGTAAGATGTGAATGGAGAACAATATACAATTTCTTCATAATCTCAGTAGTTGGTGTAAACGGTAAAAATATTACAATAAAGTTAACAACATCAATAACAACAATATCCAAACAACAACCTGCTTTTAGATGAAACTATACATTGTGAGATACAAAAACAGAGCAGATATTGCATAAGAAAAAAAAACAAAACAAAGTAGATAACAGGTTCTAAAAGTCAATGTAACAAATCTGGAAAAGGCGTGATCATTCTCCCTCAAAAGCAATGTAAAAACTGCAGACACTGACTGAGTCTAGACATGAAAGATAATAACATCAAACTATCTTTTGAGGTAATTATTACTGTTAAACAGGGTTTTTATTTTGGCTTCGTTGGGTTTTAAATTACACCAGCTCTGAAAAAGTCTTTGCCTTGACGAGCATAATTTAAGTATAAATAAATGAATCAATGACTTACATATCCATCAGGTTTAGTTTTAAATCTAATATCTTCAGCTTTTGGTGCTACAGCAACTGCCCCTGAAAATAATCAAATACAAGAAATAAATTCTTAGATTTTTTGTTTTTTCAAAATACAATGAATTTATTCAATTTAAATAAAAAGCTAAATAAATAAAACTAAAACTAGAACTGTCAGTGAATGTGATACTTAATATCCCCTCTCAAAAAGCTTTTATTTGATAAATAAAGCCAAAATAAACAGGGGCCACACTTATTTCTAATAACCAAATGCGTTATTATTAAAAAAGTCTTTCAAATCTATTTTTCAAATGGTCAAGTTAACTAGAGAACAACTTGAAAAAAACAACACATTATGAAGTAATACACAATGCATGTTTAACTTCTGGCAATATATCATGTGTTTCATATTTTAAAAAAAAACATGATAAAAAGATATTGTATTAAGGTTTAATAAAAGGGTAATACCTAATATTTAATTTCACAAACCTTATTAGTTGCATGCTAGATACTTATAGAGGTATTAATTGAAAACAGTATCCTTACAATACAGAAAAAAGCCTGTCAATATTTGATTCTAATGTTTCTGACAGTCTTGAAATTTTTTCATTCATCTCAATAGTGTCAAGGGACATAATTCAATATGACAATTCAACTTCCATACCAGGAAGAGGAAGTGAGTGATTTCCCTTCCATTCAAAACCAAAAGAGGAATTAAATCACTGAAAATAGCAAAACTGCACACTGAAAAATAACATATAATTTCATCACATCATTTAAAATCAAACATTAAAAGTAATTTGTTTTTTTCATAAAGTTTCACACTTATGTATTATATATTAATATGAATATATGATATAGTAAAGTATTAAAATCAGTAATATGATCAGGGTTTACATTCAAATTATCTTTTATTATTTTAAAATCAAAACCAAAAGAGGATGACAAGTCAAAGAAAAGGGCCACGAGGGTCATTATATCACTAACCTGATTATTAAGGCTTTTAATGGATCTATAAATACTGTTAAATATGGATTTAAAACTGGTATAATTTCATTATCTTAGAAAGTCCAACATATCAGACGTTACAGGCTTTTTGTAGTTTATGTCGGTTAATCATTGCCGAGAAGCAAGACGTTATATTTATAACACTTAATCTTAGACTGATATCATAACTTAATATCTGCACCAAAATAGTGCAAAGCAAAGTCCAAATAAGGGCTTTTTAATCTTGTTTTGACTCCAGATGGCCCATACTCAAACTTGAGGTAGACATCATTTTAACAACTTTACTGACATATTTTCAGGATAGTTTAGGCTGTTAAAGATTAAATTTATAGTGTTTAATATCATTTTTCATGTTTGGGCTCTGTGACTTTTTGACATGCTTTAGTTAGAATCATCAACACAATCATTCTGACCAATTTCCAACATATTTGGGCTGAAAATGTAATCTCTAGAATGTAAACAAAGATGTTCCATATTTTGGCTATGTGACCTAGTTTTTGATCCTAAATAACCCATAGCTAAACCTGAGCTAGAGTAACTGCATCAACACTGCTGAAAAATTTCTAAACATGTTGCTTCAAGAGTGTTATCGAGGTTTTTCCATATTTGAATTGTATTACCTAGTTTTTGACCCCAGGTGATCCATATTCTAACTTTAGCTAGAAATCATCAAACATCAAAACAACATTTCTGACCAATTTCCAGGATGTTTAGACTGACACAGTAGCCTCAACACTGTAAGAATATATTGTACTTTTTGCTCCTTTGATCTAGTATTTCATCTAAAAAAGTCCATGTTCCAACATGTACAATCAATCAATGGCAGGTTTGGTGACAATTGAGGGGAACATTTGACTGCTAGAGTGTAAAAAGCTTAACGACATACGATAGACTGACAATGATCCCATAAACCTACCCCGAACCAGCTTAGATGAGCTTAAAAGCAAATTTTCAAGCAGAAATAATTAAAAAAATATTCTTTTCATGACATATTATTTAATCAACAAATTAAACTAACACATGCATGCTTTATAGTAGCTTTTAACAAAGTCAGAAACTATTACACCCTTTCCTCATTACAACCAAAACTAAAGCGCTATGATGGCGGCCCTTGATCGCTCACCTGAGATTATTACATTCATAGAAAAGGTCACAAATGTTTTTCAACGTTATGGTCAGTATTGAGGTTACATTACTTTCGTCATTTTTTACTCAGGCTGCACAATTTTTATAACATTAGTAAAAATTTGCTACAAAATGCTTTATGTCAAATAGCTCTTGGCATTTTAGTTTCATACATAAATACTCCTTTAAATGTCTTTTTTCTATGTTTGTTTATGTTCTTCAAAGAAGTAACACTTAAGGCCCTATAACCCCGCAAAAAGACATTTATTGGCCAAAACCAATGCTACATCGAAGTTTCAAGGCCCATGGGTTGTCAAGCTATTGGGCAGAAACCAATTTGGCATATAAGATCAATGTGACATTGACCTTTGACCCTTAACCCTTAAAAATAATAAGGGTCATGCACTGACCAAGACCAATGTTTATATGAAGCTTTAGGGTAATGGATCCATGCATTCTCAAATTATTGACCTGAAACAATGTGCGACAGATGAACAAATGGATAGATGGATGGACAGCAGGGCCATCAGACTGACATCATGCTTAAGAACAATGTGTACCCTTTTCTTCAAATGGTTTAGAGGAATAACAATGGTAGTTTAAGTGACATGCTCATCCATTGGATATATAGTGAGAGAACAGTTGAAAGTTTATAGTATGCTTTAATTCCTGTCAAATGTATAATTTTTCTTTGCATGAACAATAGATAACTCGCTTGGCCCAAAGAAATTTTTATAATTATCCATTGGAATATACCTGCAATTCTCAATTCATAAAAAGAGTGGGTCAGTGTTTTTTATATTTAAGGTAAATTTATATTTTATCCTAAACATTTTTTAATTTTAACTGTTGGTCAATCACCATTATAACAGCCAATCTCTTGAAATATAAAGTCAATTAAGCTCGTCTTTAAAACAAGAGCCATCTTCAGGAGGGGGCAACACTAAATGTTTTTTTTTACGTTTTCTTAAGTTTTCTAAATTGAGACTCAAAGTTTTAATTGCTTTCACTAAATGACATGAACTGGATTTAATGATTAATGAGAATTATTGATATATAAAAGGCAATATCATATCAATAAAAATAATTGAGACTCCTCTTTGATTTTATATATTTTTTTTATTTTGAACAATATCTGTCATTCAGAGTGACGTGTTCACAAAGGACACTGGGGACTTCTAGACGCATGCCTGAATGATTTTCAATGTAAAATTAAAATATCAAAAATATCAAGGACAACACAAAAATGTGTTGAAAATCGGTGTTTTCAAAATATGAACAGTATTCAGTTCTATATATATTAATAAGACCTGTCCACGGACATCGTGCTCCGAGTTTCTCGGTGCTGGACAGTAAAATAAAAGTTGAACATTGAAAAAGGTTAACCGAGACTTTCAATGTCAAAGTGTTGGCATAACTCATGAATAAAAATTATGGAATTATTTTCTGCACTGTAGACCTGCATCCCAATAAATATTCATTTTAATAAGTAATATTCTTTGATAGTTTGCTATTCTATTGTATGTTCTTAATGTGTAACCTTCTTTAAATAAAGATATAATTATTATTATTATAGAAATCGACCTTAGAAGAAAACAAAAGTTAAAATGTGTCATTACTTAGCAAAAATTACATGTCCCTCTCCCTTTGCCGCCCTTATGTCCACTCCAGGGGGGTTGCGTCCTGTGAAAGTTGCCTTTACCTTGTTGATCTTTATTCTTGTTTTTTTTTTAAGATTACCCTTCTGAAATGGTGTCATATTTTAATAGTGAATACCATATGCAAATCATGTTTTAAAGACCCAGAAATACTTTAATATTTATTTCTCTAAAGCTTTTGTTGTTGTTGCTTACCTACTAGTATTATAATTCCAAATTGTCACTCATTGGTCAGATACATGAACAACCTTTTGGCAATTAGTGTCTACTACTAGTTTCCTACTTTTATAACAAATAATTTCAAATATGTCCTAAACTTTCTTCATGTGACAGCAACTAAAATGCTATAAAGTCATTTGTTAATCTGAAAACTTATGTAAGAACATTATAAAGAAGGACAAAAATTATTGGTTTCTTAGGCATTATTTCCGTCAGATTAACAAAAGAAACTTGTTGGCTATCTGTAACAATTCCCTTTTTTGTTATATTACAGAATGTTTCCAGCACCTCACTACAGGGAACAGTTTTCACTGATGTTATCCGAGGTTTTATATGACATCGGTGTTAATGAACAAAAGATTGCGAGATGGAGAAAATTGATGCAGATGGAAGAGACATTGACTAATATCACTATGATGCAAACTGGTGTAAATATAACTTCATACTATTTGGGGAGTAAAAGTGAAGGTACAACTACTCCAGGACTTGAGTCAGACCTAGATTATATAGCTTGTGACAATAATGTCAGAGTTATACAAGACTTGTCAGAGTGGGAACATGGCAAGAAAAACTACCTTATGATACAGAATGAGAACACCACCCCTGGGTATTGTTTGCTACAACTGTTCCAATATGGTAGACCTATGCCTGCCAATGAAATTCCTGATGAACATCATTTATCTGACAGAAGAAGAATATTGTGTAAAAACACGATTAAAGATTGCTTTATGACTTCTGGTTATGAGCAGCATGGACCATCTATTGCTAAACGATGGCAACATGGATTTTGTGATACAGACATGGTGCCTGCCTTTCCCTGTAAATCCTGGCCGCAATCAGCATCAGGTTGGTTAAAGAGACAAGGTACAGGAGGATTGCCAACACATGAGATGAGAAGATTTACAGCCCAAACAACATGTTTTGTTGTTCCAACTGGAAGTAAAGTCAGTATATATCCGGAACTGGAATGGAGAATATCTACATCACTGGCAGAGAAATATCTTATGTTTAATTTAAATATAACACAAATAAGATGTTATGTGTTACTGAAAATTATTCTTAAATCATGCCTGAATCCTCAGGGAGAAATAAATTTATCAAGTTTTATGATTAAAACAGTTTTATTCCATTGTATAGAAAATACAGAACCAAGTATATGGGTAGATAACAATTTATTGACATGTTTGATATTCTGCTTACAGGAATTACACAGTTGTGTACAGAATGAACATTGTTCCCATTTTATAATATCTGAAAACAACTTGATGGCAGGGCAATTTACTTCTGAAACAAACCATAAACTTACAGAAAATGTAAGTGACTTTATTCAAAATGATAGGCATTTTTTGCTTCGAATTGATACTGATTATCTTGGATATAGACTACAAGCTAAACTGAACATGGTACCACAGAGAGTTTACAGGTCTTGTATTTCTTTTTCATCCTACCTTATGTTTGCATGTAATATATTTTGGGCTTACACTTCTTTCATTAGACGATTACCAAACGAAAACTTTGAAGAAAAAATGAACCAATATTGTAACAATTATTTACCTTCCCTAATGACCTATGACATTGATAATGATGAAATCATTGCACATAACAGAACAAGATATCAGGCACCTTTGGCCTTTACCACATATGGATCTGCCCTAGCATCATCCAGTATTGGTAAAAATAATGAAATATTGCCTGAAGCATTTACTTTGCTATCGGATGGTTTAAACTCAGATGTTTCATCTGGCAAGCTGAAACTGGCATCAGTATTCTACAGTATAGGTCAGATGGAGAAAGCTGAAGAGATTCTGAGACAAACTAAACAAAAATATCTCTCTCATCATGTTGTCCCTATCTGTATCAGCGAAGAGAGGATTCCATCAACATTATCTGAAGACATTGTAAGGGTATGTAAAGAACACAAAGAAGACTGTATCAGACATATTGTAGCATTTTGCGTCCATTTCATACGGCAGGAGATCAACTGCGTTCCTCATGAACTACAGTATGAAATGTTCAGATCTACACAAGATGACATGAAACACAGAGTAAAAAAACAACTTTGGTTTGAAGACAGTTTTATGACCTGGGCTACAGTTGATTCTCTACTTTTCTTATACTTCCTACAATATAAGATCTATGGTCATCTTAAAAGACATCAAGAAAAACAACAAGCACTCAATAAGCTTATGAGAACCACATTTCCTGGGGAAAACCTTAATCATAGAGAAACAGCTCTTAACATTTTAGGGCAAATTATGGAACAAGAAAATAGACCAAATTATGCTTTCAATTGCTACATATATTCTCTGCGAGAAAGAGCAAGAAATAATGCTGCAAAAATTCATTTATGCCGACTTCTCTCCTATTTACTACAACCCAGAGTTGAAAAGACGTTGTACCAACGTTGTACTGACATTAGACCCTAATGTTGGGTAAACGTTTGCAGGAGGTTTGGATTTGACAGTATTTTAGATATCAGAAACCAACGTCTATACAACGTCATAAGATGACCTTTAACTACAATCCAACCTTTTCTGACCATTATCTGACCATAATTCAACCTTTTCTGACCGTAATCTGACCATAACCGAACCTTTTGTCATCATGATCTGGCCATAATCCAACCTTATCTGACCATGATCAGAGAGTGTCCCCAACCTTTTCTGACAATGATTTTGTCACATTCCAAACTTTTTGGAATATGATTTATTCATTTTAAATTATAACCAAAACATTTTAGTATCAATTTCATATGAATAGGTCAATAGGTTAAACAAATAAGCATTCATATAATTTTAGCAATTAATTTTCAACATGGAATCACACACAAAACAATAAACGTGGTATAGCAAAAGCAAGATATACATATGTTTGAAACTATTAAACTTGACAGTATGTTATAATAACGCTTCATGAATAAATTGAGCATGTATATAAGAAAAGACAAACGATATGCAGTCATATTTCAATTTTGACTGCTTAAATAAAAAAGTTATTGTGATTTTATTATTTTTAATTTACCATTGTCGTAATTATACAGGTATGGGTCTTTTTATATTCACTGCTATTTCTATATTAAGTTTTTATTGGTTTCTCAGCATTATGTTTGAAAAGATACAATTTTGAGTAATTTGGAATTTAAAAAGCTCATTGATTCTATTTCTTGTTCTTCTCACATGCAAGTGAATGCTCAAAGTAATTCTTATTCCCAAAAGACATTATTTATTTTCATATTTAAGCTATTTCCCCAAAAACAATTAAGGGATTACATATTATGTTTTAAAAATATTAATGTTTCTTTAATATTTATTTGTATTAAGGGCATGTTAATACTTTTATATAAATGGTACAATAAGGTACTACATATGATATTGGTACATAAAATGCTTGTGTAATTATAATAATGTTTTTGAATACATGTATATATTCCAACTTTGACAGCATAAAATAAAAGTTATCTAAATTGTGATTTTATTATTTTCAATTTACCATTGTCTTAATTATACAGTGAGACAAGGGAACAAAAATATATAGTTACCACGATTCAACTACAACCAAGGGACAGTCACAAAGCATCGTGAAACATATTCTAAAACATAATAACAAAATTTGTATTTGGACAGTATGCTCCACTTTTCTCAGTAATGAAGATTAATAATAATAGAAACATAGAAAAAGGGGCAAATATTTTAGGATAAATTGCCCTTTTAAGATAATTTCCTTTATGAGGAAAACATTAATTCCAAGTTTGATGAATTTAATAGCTTTAATAGCCTCTGAAAAATGGACCTTTGATAAAAGGTTACCGTAATTAACACCATATCTGACGCCAATGCCAATGAGGGGGTTATGGTAAAGAAAAAAAAAGGGAGCTTAAAATAACCCTCTAACACAAAAAGTTAATGTAATTTACTCCTTTCCAAGTAAGATTATGGATGGAGTGAAGCTCATAATCAGATGAATGGCAAACTTATAGTCTCCCAGTGAACCAGGAGTGGACTTAAATTAAAATTATTTTCTTCACATTTTACACTCTTGATGTTAGTTTTCCCTACAAAAAGGTTAGCATTGCTTGCACACCAATGATATGGTAATTATTTCTTGTAGCTATTAAGAAAACACTCATTTTGTTTACATTAAATTAAATTATAATAGCATATTTAGTTTGATGATTTTTCAATGAAGAACAATTTCTATTTCAGATGTCCCTTTTACTTATTTAACAATTGACTTTTTCAATTATGCAATCAATTACAAATTAACCTAAAAATTAAAAAAAAAATCTTCATTCCTGTACATTTTTTTTCTGAACTTTCCTCTTCATTTCTTTGAAAAGACGGTCAGATGGTGCATCTGCAGCTTTATTTAGAATAATGCGATATATATACGTGTGTGTGTATGTGTGTATCATTTATTATGCATTGATATATTAATATTAACTTAGCAGATATCAAACTTGAGCTGTCAGTGACAGTGATTTGCCCATCACTATGTCTGACTGTAACTCAAAATTCTAGGCTGAAAAATGCAAATATTCTGTCAAAATGTTGAACATTCATATATATCTGAAATTCAATTTGTAATAAAGTTTCCTTTAATGTATATCAATTACTGAATAAGAAAACATTACTGAAATGGTATAACAGAGCTGTAAAGAATATTTACAATTTATTTGGAATGTTTTTTTTTGTGTTTCTTTTTTAACAACATGATTTCTTTATAATTTCATCATTTGTTTCTAGTTAAATGCAATATAATATAAAAATAGTACACATTACTTTGGTTAAATGATTGCAGGATATCTGATAAGTCTCTGCAATGAGGCCCTCAGTGCTGACTAATATTTCATAGTAGTCAAAATGGAAACCCTTATTGTAGCAAAATATGGAAAAATCAAAATGAAGAAGGTTCCCTTTCATTTCATATCTACTTTAATAATACTGGGAGGGGCATATCTTGCCACCAGGGGCATGATTTATTTATAACTATTGTAGAAGACCACAAAGTGATATAACATACCAAAGGACATGCTCTGGGTATTGTAGTTTCGGAGATTCAGAGAAAAAATTTTAAGACAATTTTTATACATGTAAATGTCTATGTAAACAAAGTGACCTGAACATTGACCTGGCCAGTGGGAAAGCTCAAACTTGACTAATTTACATTGTCTGATAACCTTTAACAGAAGCAACTTTTGAATTCCTTCCATTGGCTCAAAAGTTACAACAGAATTGTTCATTGACACACTCTACTAGGGCTCTTTTCCAAATAATTTTAGAAAATAACACATTGAGGTTGGGAATATTTTTGGTGCTACATTTAGGAAAAATTTCAAATTCAAATTCAGGAATTCATCAAACTTTATGAGAACATTTAGCATATAACTGAGATTGAGAATAGTTTTTATATAACTTTTAATAACCAGTTTAAAAAAAAACAAAATGTGATTTTTGTCAATGCATTTTTGATTGTAATTAAATAATTATGTATTTTTGTCAAAGAATTGAGAAAGAAGCTGTTTTCACCCTTACAGTGCTAAATATATGTATCTTAAAAGGAATTTTTCAAGTATACAAAATCATTCCTTAATTTTAGAGAAAGTTTAATAAAAACTACAGACTGAGGGAAGAGTTCAAACCATAATCACATAGCAACGTGATCTGCACTGGTCAAGTAGGAATATTCAGTTACTGCTAGCAGGCTTATATTCAAAATAAACCTATCAAATTCTTTTTACAGCTTTTTGAAATGACAAAAACCTTGTGTCAACAGAGCACAGATGTAATGTAAAGTCAGGCCCGTCGTCACGATTTTGTTATTGGTGCGGCCAATTTGGTTGGTTTAGCCAGAATCTAGGGGGTACGGGGGCATGCTCCCCCTGAAATTGTTTTATTCTGGGATGCTCTCAGGGGCGTTTTCCCGTATATTTTGGCACAGTTTACAGCCTGCCGCTAGTACTTGCTTTAGTAATATGTCAACGATTTTTTTACAGATTTAAGTGCGTCGTAAGTTTTAAGGGTGAAATTTAAGGTTCGCATAACGGACTGACAGGTGTACATAAAAGATGAATACATGTTATTGATATTTGGCAAAGGAAAAATAAACAATAACTGATGTTGTTATAATTCTTTTTATGCATTTTTATCCGATAATCATAAAAAACAAATACAAGAACTATTACAGTACTTGGATTATTGTTTAACATAAATCACACAATGGTATAAGCTTAAATAACAATCGATGACATGATTGAAGAATAGTATATTACGAGTCAACAATAACCACTTTTTGTTTAGCAGTAACTTGTATTTTGTTCACAATAATCTTACACAAAACAGAGTCTCATTTTATTTAAATGTTCCAAAAACACATCGCCGTCATTCTCTGGTGGTAATGAACTCATCGGCAATTACACGTAAGTTGAGTGAATCTGTCCTGTACCTATGAATATGTAATTTTCACCATTAGATTGTTCTAACGTACTTGAGACAAATTGTCGATCTCAGGTATGTCTTTATTCTTCTGAGCGCCGAGAATGTCCTTTCACTGGTAGCATTAGTAGCAGGCATTACTACAAAATCTTTAACAGCACAACGACCTCAGAGAACTGAGTTCTAGCACCGACTGTTCTGACTGTTTTAATTTCAAAACGTCAGGTAGAGTAACAGTACTAATTTCTGATTTGTCAAAATGTGAACGTAGCAGCTGAAGCTGAACCTCTAAGATGTCTCAGTTAATATCGTTACCATTGAAATCACAAACAAAAGCAAGTTCTCTAGTGTACTCGGTCTTCAAAGGTTGTGCGGCCTAAATAAGTAAAGCCTGCACGTTCAAGTACGCAATATCCTTAATAAGTAAATCCTGCACGTTCAAGTACGCGATATCCCGGTTGGTCAAATCTCTCTTTAACACTGGCAATGGCAAGATCGTCAAAGAACCATAACTCTATTTTGCCCGGTATTTGAATTATCTCCCTTTTTAGAAAAATCTTGTCCGGGACATAACTCTAAAACTATAAGATATATCAACATGAAACTTTGTAGGTAGCTAGATCTCAATGGGTAGATATGAAGTGCTTAAGAACTTGAACTCCGCCTTGCCAAATTTTGTGGTTATTGCACTTTGTTCATTTTTACATTTTGAACTTTGTCCCGGTTATAACTCAGAAACCATAAGAGGTATCAACAAGAAACTATGTAGGTTGATAGATGGCATTGATTACAAGTGTAGTGCAAAGAACAGTAATTTTGGAATCATTGCACTTTGAACCTTTTACAAGGACATAACTCTGAAACTATGAAACTACAAGAAGTGTACTTTCCTGTGTCCAAAACCTTTTCAGGGAGCATCACCCGGCTCAAACCGGGTTCTTGTCATTCAAGGGCTATAACTCGGCCATAAATCATTCAAGCGCAAAACCCGTGTAATATGCCCAAGTACTTGACCTACCAGTAATTTTTGATGAGTAGTCCGGACAAGTTTTGTGACAGACGTGATCCCGTTATGTAGAGGCGACACACCAATATTGTTCCAACACTCTCAAGGGACATTATTCAATAAACTTTTATACCAGGAAGAGGAAGTGATTTATTTTCCTTCCATTAAAAACATTATCACTGAAAATAGCAAAACTGCACACAGAAAGAATACCTCTTATTAATTTCATTGCATCATAAAAAGTAAGTTTTTTTCATAAAGTTTCACACCTTTGTATATTAAATATATGTATACTGTCCTGAAGGAGGTATATATCATAATCAATGGGTTTTTTTACCCCACAATATTAAATACAGTCAACAGTACTTAAATGTTTAAGTAGAATCATCATCAATTATTTATGTTGACATTTTATATGTTTTATCTATATTTTATTGATATTTTATCAATTTTTCAAAAATCTTTCCAGTGGTCTAGACAATTCTAACTACCTCATGAAATTTTAGTAAAAAGAACGCTTTGAGACAGTTTTTGTACAGAAAACATTTAGGTAATTTGACACACATTAAAAAGTTTACTAAATTTAAAAATGCTCAACACAGTCTCTCCAACCAGTATAGGAAAGTATTCAAATCAGTATTATTTTATAGAGAGAGATATATCCCTTAATGTTTCCCATCAAAGCCAAAAGAGGATGACAAAGTAAAATAAGCAGAATTTCCATCCATTTTGTCAAACAGAAAGAATGTAAACCCTTGCAAGATAAAGTAAGTGACATACCTATCTAGATTTCTGTATATCAGATACGGATGCACTTATAACATGCTGTCTAATAAACAGATTAGTTGCACCTAGATGGGGACACTATTGACCAAAGGGGCATTCACAGTAGTCAATTAAATATTCTTCTTTTTTTTCACATATATA